TATATAGTTATCAGAAAGGGTTCCTCCGAACAATAATCACCTTTCCCACACCGAGTTTAGTTTCTGGCGTTTATATTCTTTCAAATTCTTTCCACATGTCCCATCTCGCATAAACACTTACGGGGATTGATGTGTTATTATGTTGTACGCACCCTCACCAATTCAACCGGTGAGATAGGGGTAGTAAATGAATTCATTACTTACTCTAGACTCAGTGTAATAAGATTCGTGCTATTCCATGGTATCAAGCGGGGTAATCAATGGGCCACTATCCACTCATCCTTTGTTTTATTCGGTCTCCCCCCTCTAGCTTTCCACCTTTGACCCTCTTTGCGTAACATTCCCTCAGAAAGCTAGTTAAAAATATTTAACATGCTCTAATGCTGCTCCATTTTGATGACGCTCTTTTTAGCCTACGAAATTTTGGGAAATCCCTCTAAACGTCATGCGTACGATAGCGTTGATCCCGTAGTGGTGAACGATTCTGTACCGAGTGCTGCGAGCATCAGAGAAGACTTTTTTGGCGCTTTGCGACCATTCTTTACTCACAAAGCACGATGGTCCAAAACGCAGCCAGTCCCAGGTTTGGGTTATCTTGGAACTAGACTGGATGATGTGCACACATTCTATGATTTTTGGTAAGTTTCAAATTCTACGTGAATTTCAAGTTAAACGTTTCATTTGCGTCGATTCTGAATTACTGTCTCATAGTCATGTTCTGTTTACTGATTTCGAATGGTAATAACTAAAAGGTGTAAGTTACTCAAATTCGGATTAAATGTGGTACCTCTGTGACACCGAACCCGTACTTTAAGGTAAACGTCATAATCATGAACTTCGTTTTTTGCACCCATGGGGTTCGCTCCGTCAATTACGAAGTTTTACTTTGCCGGTCAATATCGTTCAATAGTAAATCTTCCTGATTGTGTGACTCATCCCTTTTACTATATACCACACGATCATGGGTGGTAAGAGATACTCCACTGTTTAACCTTTCACCGTTTTCCATAATATCTCATCAAATGTAACCATACGCGGCAGCTACGCTTTGTAATCCACTCCATAAGCAACTCGCTTTTATCTGAGACCTCATCAGTTTTTGTTGTATTTCTCACTGTTTTCCGCGTTCAACAAACAGTGAGAATCTTGGCAACTTTGTGCTTCCGGTTTTAGTTGCTAGCTGCTACGAAGTGTCACTGCCATCTCATAAAACGTTCTATGTGCAGCTCGACTAGTGAATAAATTCTTCTCACACGGGATTGTTTATTTAATTTTACCACTTTTTCTCAACGACAATCCGACGGTCACGTTGTTTGATCCTCAGGTTATCTAGGATATAATTTTCGATCCAGTCGAAGTAACTTGCACTCGTTCATACAAAGGTTCTAATTATTCAGTACTGTTTCTGTTCCGTTAAGGGTGGACTAAGTAAATATTAAAAATCTCATCAGTTGTGCATAACAAAATGTCATTTTTCCGTTGAAATAGTAATTGCTAGTTTTGGAAATGAATCTTGTGNTGAATCTTGTGCATTTATCCAAGCACATGAAAATTGGCCGGTTTAGTCTGTTTTATCGTACATTCTACTTGGCTAATTTCTTTCATGATTTGCGATCATGAACTTCCAAGAAAGAACGTGTATCTTATCTGATTACACGAACAGTCCGAAGAGCCTCCCCAACTATCTGGCACAGCCAGATGAATGTGCGACGATGGTTATCTGGGTCCTTTAATGAGTCTGAATTAAAATTTGGCTCGTGTTTAAGTGGGAGTAAACGAAACAGTGCGTTGAGCGCCATCCCCAGAACGATACATCTCAGATATCTGACGAACAGACAGTTCAGATGTAATCCAACCGTTAGTATGGCGCAAAAAATATTGGTGAAGCACACAATGAACCGGGGATCGGGAAGACGTATAGCGTATAGTTTGGTCTTGTTGTGGTAGTGGATAAACGCGGACCTGAAATGCTAGTGGACACACGAATATTACAATGGATCTAAAACGAGCATTCCACAGATTTGTCACCACAGTAGAGGAGGCATGACAGGGTTTAATCAATCCCGGTTACTTACAATCGTTCAGACTCAGAGAGCTATAAACCAGTACCGTGTAAAAGCCAACACTACTTTTTTCTTCCAGTTTCTGTTCGTTGTGCTCTTAACACAGCGCAGTTAAAAATTTGTAACGACTTCATTTACTTTCAACTGTTGGTGCAGCAAACTTTACGGCGGAAAATAAGTCTTATCATGCAAAAAGAGTGAATAATTTATCGAGTAAAATACCCACATTATCCAGAACCGCTCAGGAAAATGGAGGATTCTCAAACAAACCAGATCAACATTCGCACTACGGTCGCCTAACTTTCCTTATTTCTTATGGCATGGCTACCCTTTGATAGGTTGCTTCCCTCTTCATAATCAGTCCTTGTACGTATATGAATTCAAGAAAAAAATGAAGTAAAAAAAGATTTTCTGATAGTTTTAGGAGCCCACGTCTCACCTCTCGAAGAGATCCTCTATGAATGCGTATTCCGAACTATCTTAAGTAGTTTGTAGCCTAAATTCGATGATGAGACATGAAAATTTATCCTGTTCACAATGGACTCACGTGATGTGTATTTTTCTCTGACACCTACATTACCTGTGAAAGCGCTGTGTTCAACGACCTATCCTGGCAAGCTGATCATTCTGTTCCAATTGAATTCGACTTATTTAGTTCGAACTTCATAAAAGAGTTGCATTATACTATCGAGAACGCAAATGTGGAGCGATACGGTGGAGGAATGCATTGCGATACTCGAATCGTTATGGAACTTAAATGAAACAAATTGACGAATAGGATTACCATCTTTTCATGTGCTGGAGGGTATATATATATATATATATATATATATATATACATATATCACCACCAATCAATAAACGGACAAGATACGAACACCGCTCACAATAAGAAAGGTGTGTGTGTGTGCAAAAAGGCATGGCGTGTTGTTGTTTCATGCCCTACGCATTATTGATGTTTTTCTATGCATTTGACCTTTTTTGATCAGGTTTCTGCTTTACATTCGTGCTACTTAATATTGTACGTTACAGGGAAAACTACGATACCATTCGTGACTACTCCTTTCTTGACGAAGAAGACAAAGAAAGAGGCGAAGAGTGAGTTTGAACTATAAATACTGCTTCGCTCTTGCACTTCTTTTTCGTTGTGTTCTACAGACTGCCATGATCTGATTTACAAGCCCATATGTCATGCCTACCGATGCAATTTGCAGGGAAGATTAGACATTCATCATAAAATACTTATGCAGCCTAATGCAAGCAAGAAACTAGGCAAACCTAGCAGCAACTTGCCTGGCGTTTCCTCTTCACCGTGGGATGTGCACGCGAATCTGTGGAAAGTTAGCATTCATCATTGCAACTGCTCTGCTCACATTCTGATTATNTTCTCGATTCATTCAATGTCTCCACTTTTGTGTTTATCCTTCCGGTCGGCTGAAGTAGGTGGTATATTTTCCTCCTAGGCACCAAAATTAATTGATTATCTAACTTTAATGTTTGTCTGAGCTGGCAATTTTATCATGCTCATAGAAGTAGGAATACTAAAAACACTGCAGTATCTTCGCTCAGAAACCCTACTCAGTCATATACGTTACCGGAGGACGCTTTGTTCATCTGAAGATAACATAATATACGTTCTTTCAAATGTTCAGTAGAACTTTTCGCTTTTTTACGGAATCACTCATCGAAATTCGCTTCTACTGGCTGCGTTCTTTTTAAGGCCCCTTTTATAAATCTCTACTTTTACTTTTGTGCCACTCCTTCCCGATCATTCTCTTTGGACATCACAATGGTCCAGAAAGGTTTTTCAGATTAGTGTCTCAAGCGACCTTTCAAGCACCATTTGACCATTTCATCCCAACTAGCATCTGTCTTTTGCACAGCCATGTGCAGCCTGCAGTGTATCAGGGGTATTAGAAACAAGCTCGTGGCCACTTGTTCGCTTCATTGTTCTATGAAAATTCTTCTCAGGTAGGTGGAACCCAACACGGGCTGGTCACATTACTTATGGCTCGCATTCGCCACGTCACGGTATCATCAGAATGTTGTGGGGGTGCTTTATAGAGCACGTTTGTTAATCGAAAACCCTACTAGTCCACATCAATTGTTTCTATCGCAATTCATTGTTAGTGTTGTTCACTATATAAACGATCATTTAACTCTCATCTATCAATAACCAAAGCGCGCCTGTATGATCTCACCACGCCGTTTATGTTACCTCTGTCAGTTCTCTTTTTCTAATTGAAAACTAAAACCACCAGTCGCATGTACCACATCTTTTCTTACCACAGGACCAATTTCACGTCCAAGACAACCAAACTTTGGAGCATGCGGTATTCTCCCACAGTCACTTTCCGTCCTTTAAAGCCTAGTTTGTAAATTGGTTTAATCATAAATATCCCTGAACAGGGTAACTCTTTTTATTAAGAACTTCGATCGCTTTAAAAGTAATTTACCTTTGCATAATGAGAACCTGATTATCCTTCTGAGAACCCGAATCACTTCGATCCCGTTTTTTCGCGGTTTCCCTAGTCGTGAAACCAGACGAGCTATCGAACGTCAAAATCGGGCTGAACGGGCCCGAAGACGTGGTGAAGAATTGCGCACTATTCGTCAAATTGTGGAATTGGCCAAGGCGAACGATCCCCGTTTGTTGGCTGCGGCTAAGGCTGCTAAGGACGCCAAAGCTGCCAAACGCCAAGCCCGTCTGGATGCTGCGCGCAAACGACGCGAGGAGGAGGAAGAGGTTAGTTCCACAATGCCGTTCAACAACTATCAATCCTTCGTTTGGTATCATGGGGCTTTTGGCTGTTAATGTTCATTTCTCGTCTATTGTGTACCAAAAAAGCGATGTTATGATCAATTCTGGTATGACAGCTCCTCCCGATAACGACTGTTTTGATTATCAAACTTTGTATTTTTCTTTCACCGACCGTTTCAAAACCTTTCTTAAAATCCTAGAGACAGAACATGTCGATGACCGCCCTGTTGGGTGCCAATGCACGTGTAGTCCAACATACTTCAATCCACTTTGTAATCGAGATATCCCTCCACCGTCATCCAAGTGCAAAAGGCTTGTACAAGACCAGAAGGAACAGCTGCCTGCTGGAAGTAGTCGAGAGCTTCAAGTATCTCAGGAGCTTAATCACAGCTGGAATTGGTGTGGAGGAAGAGATCACGTCACACATAGTAGAAGCTAAACCAGCTTTTACCAACCTGCTATACATGTGGTGCCACCGCGATATCCGACTGTCCCTTAAGGGAAGGGTGTACATCGCCGCGGTTTGTAGTGTTTCACTTTACGGTTGCGAGACCTGGCCCCTCTGAGCGGAGGGTGCTAGTCGACTTCCTGTATTCGACCACTGATTTCTCCGAAGTATTGCTCGTGTCTGGTGGGAACATCGCTTTAGCAATGACGAGGTTCGTCTTCGTGTGTTGGGTGTAATCGCCCTACACCACCTTCAATGACTTGATCATGTTTTGCATATGTGTGCCCATCGTTTATCTTTCTGCGCTCTCTTTGCATGTACTGGAAAAAGCGTCTCGGCGGTCAAATCGTGACATGCGTAGAGGCATGAATAAGTTGGCTCTAGGACTGATATCGATGGGCGCAACTCGTCTTCTAGGTTAGGGCCAAGGGATGAGGGTTGTCATTCGTTAGAGACGCTGAGTGATATGGCTCGGAATAGCAGTCTGTAATGTGATTGTTGTGTGGTTTGTACGGTGAAAGTGATGAAATATCCGTTCATTTATTCTTGGTGTTCTGTGTTGTCCTCATTTTCATTGCAATAACCTGTATTCATACTCATATACTTGTACTCAGGAAGTGTATTTTCGTCACAACAACCTTGTCGGCATATATATATATATATATATATATATATATGTGTGTGTGTGTGTGTGTGTGTGTGTGTGTGTGTGTGTGTTGCATTACAGATGTCTTTCGGTTCATAGTCCTGGTTTCATTGTGTTAAAATTTATCTCTCCAATGAATTATAACATCCGTCGACTAGAGGATTATGTTCACCCAAATCACCTCTTTTTACATGCATCTTTTTGCGTTACATGTTGATATAAAAC